AGGGGGGGCAGGGAGCCAGGACTCCTGAGTTCTCTCCCCGGCTGTGGGAGGGGAGTGGGGTCTAGTGGTTAGAGCAGGGGGGGCAGGGAGCCAGGACTCCTGAGTTCTCTGCCCAGCTCTGGGAGGGGAGTGGGGTCTAGTGGTTAGAGCAGGGGGGGCAGGGAGCCAGGACTCCTGGGTTCTCTGCCCAGCTCTGGGAGGGGAGTGGGGTCTAGTGGTTAGAGCAGGGGGGGCTGGGAGCCAGGACTGTTCATCTGAGTCTCAGTATAGTGACCCCCGCCAAGCATTAAACATCCTGACTGATTTCTTCCACAATCCAGCCAGGGAGAATCTGGACCGGGCTCTTCCCTCCCCTGTCCCCAGAGCAGGGCCGGCTCCAGGCAGCAGCTTAACAAGCAGGTGCTTGGGGCGGCCAAGGGAGAGGGGCGGCACCTGCGGCAATTCGGGGGCGGCAGGTCCCTCACCCCCTCTAGGAGCGAAGGACCTGCCACTGAACTGCCGATCGCGGCTTTTTTTTTCTTTTTTCCCAATTGCTGCCGCCGGTTGCGATTGCGGTCGCGGCTTTTTTTTTTTTTTTTTGCTTGGGGCAGCGGAAATGCGGGAGCTATGCCGACGCCAGCCCATGACTCCAGAAGCTGGTGATTGAAGACAGGGGCAGCTAGTTCCAGGCTCCCCAGGCTGGGCAACCCCTAGTGACGGTGCTGGGTGGTGCCCCTCACTCCTGACCCGCAGCCCCCTGCCAGCCTAGCCCTGCCGGTGCCCCTCACTCCCGACCCGCAGCCCCTTCCTAGCCCCCCGCAAGCTCTGCCGGTGGCTCCCATTCCCAAGCCCGGCATCGGGTGCCGGGGGTTGACAGCCCTGGAAATTACTTTTCTCCGCCAGGGAAAAGATTTGCATGGTGATGACAAATGGAAAATTGCGGCTATAAAGCCGGGACTCGCTGTCTGGGCAGGTCACAGGCACCGGAGGAGAGCGGGCATGGCTGAGATGCTGCTGGTAAGCGCCCGGACACCTGGGTCCCGTCCCCAGCTCTGGGAAGGGAGTGGGGGTCTAGGGTCAGAGCGGGGAGCGGCTCCTCCAGCCAAGCCCTCTGGCACCACGTCCCAGGCCAGAGCGCGGCCCCCAAGGACCTTCCCCGGGTTGGGGGGCCGGGCCCTGCCCAGGAGACCCTCGCGCTCCGCGGCCCATGGAAGGGACAAGCCGGGTCGGGGTGTGCGGGTGACAATGGCTCAGCAAGTAGCAGGGAGTTCCGCTGGCTCACGCCACGCACAGACTGGGGTCTGTTCCCGCTGCTGGCTGGCTCCCGGGGTACCCGCTAGGAGGGGCCAGCGACCCGTCCCCACGTACCCCTTCCCTCCGTCCCTCTGTCCATCCCTTCCTCCATCCATCGCTCCGTCCCCACGGACCCCTTCCCTCCGTCCCTCTGTCCATCCCTCCGTCCGTCCCCACATACCCCTTCCCTCCGTCCCTCTGTCCATCCCTTCCTCCATCCATCACTCCGTCCCCATGGACCCCTTCCCTCCGTCCCTCAGTCCATCCCTCCGTCCGTCCCCACATACCCCTTCCCTCCGTCCCTCTGTCCATCCCTTCCTCCATCCATCACTCCGTCCCCATGGACCCCTTCCCTCCGTCCCTCCGTCCCTCCCTCCGTCCGTCCCCACATACCCCTTCCCTCCGTCCCTCTGTCCATCCCTTCCTCCATCCATCACTCCGTCCCCATGGACCCCTCTCCTCCGTGCCTCAGTCCATCCCTCCGTCCGTCCCCACATACCCCTTCCCTCCGTCCCTCTGTCCATCCCTTCCTCCATCCATCCCTCCCTCCCCA